TTTTTTTTTTTTTTTTTTTTTTAAGGGGGGAAAATCATCGAATGACTGCCCCCGCCTGGGTGAGGCGGGAGGGAGTGTCAGACTCTTACTGACTAAAAACCACCCCGTTCCTTCTCCTGCACGTCGAGCCGGAGCCCCGGTTACCCGTTAGGTTCTCCGCGACTCCGAATCGGCATCGGCCCTATTGGGCCCCATCTGTGGTGGTCTGATGGCTCTTTGAGGCGCGCGCGGAACGCGACGCGCCGTACGCTCGGGTCTGTTTCTGGTCGGACGGGGAGCCACCCATGCTCGCCGTCCGCAGGCCCGCGCTTACGGTGGCCGGAGATCGTCCCGCGATCCCCGACGCCCGGTGTGTCCTTCGCGATGGCTGGGTTGCGAGGAGGCAGCGCTTCGCTGCCTCACGCGTCCCGCCTCCTCCTTAGCTAGCATGACTGCTTCGCAAAAGGAGGAGACGGCATCCCAATCCCCCTCGCTCCGCATCATGGCCTGCACTAGGCCCGGACGCGAGAGGTCGCCATCGCCGATTACTTCCCTGAGGACACGGCGGTGCTCAGCCCACGAAGGGCATTCTCCCACCGTGTGTTCCACCGTATCCTCAGGGCGGCCCTCGCAGTGATGACACCCGGGCGTTTCCTCCCGCCCCATCAGACACAGGTACCTCCCGAAACTGCCATGTCCGGTGAGGACCTGCGTCAGGCGGTAGGTGAGGACGCCGTAGCGTCTCTCAAGCCACTCCTCAAAGAGGGGACTTACCGCTGCGATGGCAGCGAGCCTAAAGGCGTAGGTATAGGTGTGCAATACGGCATTGAATGCCACTTTACAATGTAACACCCACTTTTTACTATTTATGTTATGAGTCCCATGTAATAGGGGGTAAGCCTATTGCCATATACCGGGCACAACTCCAGACTCCGTGCTACTACTGAGAATTTTAAAAACTCAGTAGTACTTTGCCCGACCCGGGAATTGAACCGAAGACCCCTTGCCCGGCAGTCACACTTGCGACTACTCCGCCAACGAGGCAGGTTTTACAAACTAGGTACGTTTAAAACAACCGACGTAAACCTCCTCTTTTTTTGAGGTCAGTTTAATGATATACTAAAACCTTAATTCTTCTGAATGTATCAAACACTGCTTGCTTCATCGGTTCAGCCTATCGCAAGATAATTACGCACAAACATACTTACATGTCAAACTGAGACCCACCTTCTCTCTTTTAATTCTGTTAAAAATTAACCTGCCTCGTTGGCCGAGTGGTCGTAAGTGCGATTGGGCAAGGGGTCTTCTTTTAAGAGGGGAAATTCTTCTTCCTCCTGGGTGAGGCTGGAGGGAGTGTCAGATCGAGCGGTCGTTAGGGCAATTGGGGTCTTTTTTAAGGGAAAATCATCAAATTAAATCTACCGCCTGGGTGAGTTGGGAGGGAGTGTAAAATTCTTGCTGACTAAAAAACTCCGTTTCTACTCCTGGTTTCCGGCAAAGTATAACTGGGTTTTTAAAGTAGTAGCACGGAGTCTAGAATTGTGCCCTGTATATAGCAATAAGCTGACCCCCTATACCATCGGACTCATAACATAAATAGTGAAAAGCAGGTGTTACATTGCACAGTGGCATTAAGTGCCATAATGTGCACCTCTGCCTAAGAGGCTTAAATACGTGATGTTATGTAAAAATTATCCAACATTTAGCTAAAATTAAAATAAAATCCAATAAAAAATACTTTATTATTAAATCTAAAATCACACATTTGTTAAACAATATTGTTAACACTAATCTAGCGAGTTTTCAATAATCTCTCATCGACATTTGATTCCGAAACTCCATTCTGTTTTTCAACATTCTTCTTTTTCCCTCTGTAGCTGTTGATGTAGAAGTTCATGAAGAGGACAAAGAAGGTGCAGATGAGGAGCATGCAGAAGTTGTGGAAGAAACTTGGGAGTGGACAGGGGGAGAGTTTCTGCTGGTAGTGGAGATGGGAGACTACGAGGATAAACTGGACCTGAAAGATAAACAAAGCAACATAGGTGGAAAGATCAAAGTTTTCTTTGAAGTGGCTTGTAGAGAGTCTTTAACTCGTCGAGTACCGTCATTATAGATGTACCGTCGGTCAATATGATGTCGGGAATATTTGTATGGTGGCGGGTAGATAGTTATATTTATTTAATAAACCAGTTTACTGCTAACTCTCGCCTATCATTGACGCTGCAATAGACACAATTATAGAACAATAGGTTGCGGTCACCGGTGACCGCTCGGTGTTTGACAGTTTAATTTATATTAGCTGAATAGGCAATCACGCCGTTTACGCCATGATGATAAAGTTCACTTTATCGATACATGTCAATTTATTAATGAGTTTTTACAACAAAATGAATCCATTAGTACAGACACAGTACGGTGATTTCCTGTCAATATTGCGTCCACAGAATCCCTGCTTTATTCCTCAACACAAACAATCTTCCATGCGGGAATATGCGGGCTAGCCGCTCGTACCTACACAGAGTGAATATTGCTTATGGGCAGATTTATTCCGTCGTAAGCCTCGTTTACCGCCAGGCGAGATAGTGGTCGAACGTCGGCCCATGAAATATAATAAAAAAAGAGGGAAACCAATACTAAATACTGGAGTTTAGTAGTCCAAAGGTGAAAAAGATAATTTTTATTGAAAACTACTACTATTTGATATTAATCCCATAATGGAAACGTAGTTTTGTTGCATTCACGTCTGGACGCATCAAATTTTGTTTTGCAACGGTCATCAATCAGATATCAAATCTTACTAAATCGTTTTCGGTGAGATGAAACTGCCATTCAACTATAGATTTCATTTTATTAGTTCCACCCATACTTTTGGAAAATTTTGGTGACCTATGTCAAAAGCGGAGTTTCTGATTTTTTAGAATCTTTTCGATTACATGACTTCAAAGTGATGCTTAGAAATAGCAAATTATTTGTTTATACATTGTAATTGATTTAAATTGCTAAGTTTTATTAAGACCTGGAGACGGACACAACAAAGAAAAGACTTCATAAAAAAACACAATATAAGTAAAAGAAACAAATGAACACTCACCAGCTGAACCTTAGTCAAGTGCTTCTTCCACCAGATGTACTTCGCATAAGCAGGACCCAAAGATGAAATCCCATAATAGGCATACATGATGACATGGACAAAACTGTTCAACATGCCAACGACCACAAAATTGTCAGTAGGATGATACATAAAGTGCAACCAGGTCCAAGTGACCATAGAAGTATGATGGTAGAGATGAAGAAATGTGATCTGACTGTCCTTTTTGCGAAGGACGAAGAAGACAGTGTCAAGAAGATCCAAATGTTTCGCTATAAAGTACGGATAGATTTCACGAACGACCTGTAAAGTTAAAATAATGTTTTAAATATTATTTTTAATATAAACCTGCCTACATAATTTGGTAAAATAATGGTTGCTTAAAGAGCATCCAAAAAAAGATACAGTTAAAATGTAACATTTTTACAAAATGTTATTAATGCACAATTCAAAGTGATCCATATATTGCCTTATATGAATACTATCTACCTAGAATCTGATCTTAGGTTATCATTTGTTAAATTGGATCTCAACATAATCATTTGTATTAGATCTCTGTGGTCATAATAGAATATAAGTGCATTCCTGTATTGTCTATGTTTATTAAAAAGAATACATTGTTTTAGTTTTTTTTCCGGATCTCAACTCCGTTGTTTTATTATATCATTATTAGTCTCAGTCTCAGTATTATTATAATACTAACTTCTGCCAGAGGCTTCGCCCGCGTTCTCGTGGTAAAAAAAAGTGACCTATGCGTTAGTCCAGACCACAATCACCTGTTCCAAATTTTATTCCAATCCCTTTAGACGTTTTGACATGAAGAAGTAACTATCAAATATACATCGCATTTATAATGTTACAGGATTTCAATTTTTGTACACTTTTTTTTATAGTAATATTTCCAAGTTCCTGCTGCATAAAGACTGGCTTCAATTTTCAACTTTTCAAAGAACAGGCACATAATATTGATAAAGAATATACCCATTAAACGTATAATATTTATACTGATACTTACTCCTTGCAAATCTTCACCTTGCGGACATCTCGTCGTAATTATATTAAATCGATAAATATATCTCAAATACTGAAAAAGAAAACAACAAAAATATGTAAAATACCCAACATAAATCTAAATATGTATGTAGTACAGTCATAAACATATGTTTAAATATATATATTAAAATACAAATAATTAATTAAACTAAATAATTCTCTTCTTCTATTAGTATTTATTTAGCAACTATCGATGTATGTATATTAATTATTATGTATATAATATTACCTATCTGATTGTAATGATGGTTATTTTCTCATAGCAATTAATTACTTAAAAGTAAGTTACGAACAATCTCTAGTACCCACTTTAGTTTTTAAAACTGCAGGTCAATTCTGTATGTTTCACTTAACTTATATTTTTCTATTAAATCTGTTGAGTCCAAGACTCAGTTATATGTATATTGAATTTAATAAAAAATGACTAATTGTACGCAGGTACTGGTATAAACAGCCCGTGCTTTATTACAGACAATAAAATTCAATAAAAGTATTATTTAAACACAATTTTATATCAATTGCTAACAAAATAATCACAATCAAGAGTAAGCGAAACAGTCTTTATATCAACAATTATAAAAATATTTTTATAATTGTTGATATAAAGACTGTTTATTGAAGGTTATGAGTATATACTCATAACCTTCAATAAACCAAGTTCTTGTCACTAAATGTAACAACTAAACAATAAACCAAACATAAATATTGTAGCGCCTATACAAATAATAGAAGCAACAAATTTCACTTACGATAAATACCAAGTACACTGAGAAGGCGACTTGGAATGCGTTATACGCCAACATCAATTTTTTCAATTGAAATGGCTCCCTATTCTTCATATATGTTGGTAATATCTTCATAACAAGGATCAGGTAGGCTGCTAGAACAAAGGCCAGCCCAACCAGCGTCTCTTGCAATGTCCATGTTGGTATAGATACTGAAAACGAGTTAATAATAATTATTTTGTAATTATTTCAGATCTTCGTACAATCTTCCTGACAATGGAAAAGAAGAAAGAAGTTTTATTTTCTTAGAATGGACCCAAGATGCTACCCTGAGGAATACCCAGAAAATTATTGGTGTCTATTTATTGTAATGGAGTAGTTTCATGAGCACGCTGACAAAACAATATTTTGTAGAATTTTCCGTTAGGCGCACAATGTAATTACTTACCCACATTTACTTTTAATGACATGCATACATACATAACATCACGCCTTTTTATCACCCCGAAGGGGTAGGCAAAGGTGCACATTTCGACACTTGATGCCACTGTACAATATAACACCCACTTTTCACTATTTATGTTATGAGTCCCATGTAATAGGGGATGAGCCTATTGCCATATACCGGGCACATTTCCAGACTCCGTGCTGTGCCGTGACTGAGATTTTTTTAAAACCCAGTAATACTTTGCCCGATCTGGAAATCGAACCCGGGACCCCTTGCCCGGCAGTCGCACTTGCGACTACTCGGCCAACGAGGACATGATCTATTCAAATTTACTAATCGCTTCTAAATTTATTCTAACAAGCACTGTGCTCACTTAAACCATTTTGAAATAGTTAGTTTCTTCCACATTTTTTTTGAAAAGCAGTTATTTTCAAACGAAATAGAGCAGTTTTACATATTTCAGCATGAACCAGAAAACATTTGAGTTTTGTCGACTGAGTGAGGTTACCCGAGTCCCAATCACCCCCTTCTCTTCCCCAATCTCCCCAATCCCTAAATACCTATCCGAATGATCCGCGGATACCACACGATCTCCGGGGAGTCGGCGAACCTCCTTGCCGGATTACCGCCGTGGGATCTGGAGGCGAAGGTGCTCGCGCGCGTGTATAACATGCGCGCGGAGACACGTCACCGGGGCGAAACTCCGCTGCCGCGCCAGATAAGTGCGTGGCGGGATGAGCTCCGGCGCGATGGCGGAATGGCAGCAATGACTGTCGCAACCGGGGGCTTGGCTCGATGCCATTGCAGCGGTAAGTCCCCTCTTTGAGGAGTGGCTTGAGAGACGCTACGGCGTCCTCACCTACCGCCTGACGCAGGTCCTCACCGGACATGGAAGTTTCTGGAGGTACCTGTGTCTGATGGGGCGGGAGGAAACGCCCGGGTGTCATCACTGCGAGGACCGCCCTGAGGACACGGTGGAACACACAGTGGGCGAATGCCCTGCGTGGGCTGAGCACCGCCGTGCCCTCAGGGAAGTGATCGGCGATGGCGACCTCTCGCGTCCGGGCCTAGTGCTGGCCATGATGCGGAGCGAGGGGGATTGGGATGCCGTCTCCTCCTTTTGCGAAGCAGTCATGCTAGCTAAGGAGGAGGCGGGACGCGTGAGGCAGCGAAGCGCTGCCTCCTCGCAACCCAGCCATCACGAAGGACACACGGGCGCTTACGGTGGCCGATCTCCGGCCACCGTAAGCGAGCATGGGTGGCTCCCCGTCCGACCAGAAACAGACCCGAGCGTACGGCGCGTCGCGTTCCGCGCGCGCCTCAAGGAGCCATCAGACCACCACAGATGGGGCCCAATACGGCCGATGCCGATTCGGAGTCGCGGAGAACCTAACGGGTAACAGGGGATCCGACTCGACGTGCAGGAGAAGGAACGGGGTGGTTTTTAGTCAGTAAGAGTCTGACACTCCCTCCCGCCTCACCCCGACGGGAGCAGTCATTCGATGATTTTCCCCCCTTAAAAAAAAACCTAAATACCAATAATCCTCAAATTCCTCATCCCCAAAAGGCCGGTAACGCACTTGTAATGCCTCTGGTGTTCCAGGTGACGCCGATTGCTTACCATCAGGTGATTCGTCTGCTCGATTACCAACGTATCCCATAAACAAACACTTCACAAAAATCACTACTAAGGATGTAAATAAAACAACAATACTTACAATAAGTTTCCTTAACCCCATGATCTTCCACAATATATTCCAAGCCTGCATCCATCTTGATTACAATATTACCTTCTACTGTTTTATCCACAACCACACCTTACTCCATATCACGTTTAGTCATATCACGATATACACTGCAAATGAAGAATTCGAAGGAAATGGAAATGAAGAAATCTATATCAACAACTAGATGTATGAGCCCTGCTATAAACAAATGCACACTCCCTATTGTATTCTAATAAAGTGCGTTCTCATTTTTTGTTTAGTTAATGTATAAAATTAATTAAAATGTGTTTCTGTTTGTTGAGGACTTTGCCGGATATCCCTTCCAGAGTTTGTTAGTTTAATAATAATTACGTTTTGTTTTTTTACCACAGCGTCAGAAAATAGGCTGAAAATTATCCATAACTCATTTTGGAGTAGATAATTAATGCTACATTCACTCTCTCGCGCAAGTGTACACGAGGCTGCAGTACATTGCAGTTTTATAATACGAGGACTAACAGAAATGTACTCAGCCTCGTCTAGACTCGCGCGAGAGTGTAAATGTAGCATAGGAAAGACACACACAAGATGTTTGTTGTTTTGGGATTCCACTTACATTTTTTCTAAATAGTTGTTCACAATTAACTTCTGTATTACAAACACATTCACGTAAAAAGTTTGTTGCAAAATTTTAAGCAAATTCACATTTCTATAAAACACACGGTTAAAAGATTTTACCTCTGTTGACTCGACTGTTAGCTATCTCGATCCTTAATAATAGTGTTTCAATAGTTGTTTAATAATTTGTCATTCCAATTTCCATAATATAATGTAACTATATATTAATAATATTATAGAAAGAACGATTGTTTGCATACCATAACAATAACGTATGTAGCAAGGTACAAGCGTATTATGAATTTAGTTAAACTATCTGTCTTATTCTTTAACTACCACCACGATCACAGGAAACTTAGGAGAGCTGTTTGCAATTTAAGTACATACACAAAATCAACAATAAAATTAAAAGGGATACCATTACCGGAGCTGCGGACGACCTAGCAAGTTACCGGGGCTCCGGCTAGAAGCAGGAGTAGGAATGGGGTGGTTTTAGTCAGTAAGAATCTAAAACTCTCTTTAGAAGTCATTAGACAATTTTTCTCTTCAAAAACAAAAAATAAGTAGTACCCTTACTTAAGTGTGAGAGTGCTTCGGCACGAATGAGCGGGCTCAGCCGGAGTGATACCACGATCTCACAGAAAAACGGCGCGCAACAAGCGTAACGTTGTCTTTCGCCTCAATTCCTCCCCTCCTCAATATCCCCGATCCCCAAATCTACAATTCTCAAATCTTACCCCCAAAAGGCCGCCGACTGCTTACCATAAGGTGATCTGTCTTTTTGTTTGCCGACCTGTCCTCATAATTATAATAAACAAAATATATAGAAAGAATATTTACTGCAGTCGGATTCAAGTGTCCACATTAGTGGTATAAAATGAAGCTAATTCAATGAAAGTATGTATCAGGTACAAGCAAACGAGTGCGTATTCAAATGATATGACACGACATTACGAGGGACACATATATTGTTAAACATGCATGAACTTACTGTACCTAATGAGGTGGAATTCATTTCCTGGTGGTGTTCCGTTTATGTATACATGTATTTTATATGATACGGTGCCAAGTAAGTAGATGAATAATCAGCTGGTAAGAAATCAGCACTATCTTGTGAACACTTGTAACAACGGAGTAACAAGAGCGTTGCTGATATTTGCGAGGTTTTAAAAATTAATTTAATAGATTTATTTATATATATTTAATATATATATGTGTATATTTGATTTAGTGATTATTGACTCTGTCATTGTCATTTTGATTCTTAATATTTTCGTTTATGTAGTATTGTAAAACTATGGCGTAGGTAGTATATATTTTGTAAAATAAAAAGGATTTTCTAACATTGATTAATATTGGAAGAAATGAAAACAGCAAAGATTATGTATAAATTATTTATATAAAAGCAGAGTAAAATCTTCACAAGTTGACGTTTGTGGTGTGGTCAGTATTCTAAATAATAATAATTTAATATTTAATCTAGAAGAAGAATTACCTACCTAACATCATACCTATTATCCCCGAAAGGGTAGGCAGAGGTGCTCATTATCTATGGCACTTAATGCCACATTACAATGTAACACCCATTTTTCACTATTTATGTTATGAGTCCCACGTAATAGGGGTGAGCTTATTGCCATATACCGGGCACAATTCTCAAAATAAGTCATAATCACATGTCCTAAAAATATAAATATTTAAAACGATTGGATTTTCCCTTATTTTGTGTCTGAATAAATTTTATCAACCTTAAACACAACCGTCTGTTTGTGTTTGATTTTTATTATTTTATTTATACTAGTATGATTCCTGAGGAAGTTAAGGTCTAATGATTAATCATGATAAAATGGAATGATACATCATTGTTACTACATTGACATGAATAGTATAATTAAAATGTGGCTAAGTAACTTTTCAAGCGCCTACCAAAAAAGTGTTACGGAAATAAAGATACATATTGTAATTTTGCCTTAAGATAGTCATCAGGCGCTTTAAGTAATTATATTACTGTTAAGCAAAGATAATCTTCTAAATGAAATGAAACCTTTATTTGTGATATATAGGTACATTTGGTTGGTCATTTTTAGATTAAAGTGCGCTATTACCAGCCTATTTTTGGCATACAAATAATCGTTTAAGATTTTAAATCAATAAGTCGAAGTTCAGTTAAGTTTCAGTTTTAGTATGTTTTTCAGACTAATTATTGTATTTTTTACGCACATTTCATACTTACGCAAGTAATTATTTGACAAGGAACTCGACTAGTTTCAAGCCATACTAGAGGCTCCTATTTAGTTCATGACATAAGATAACTCATATGCAAACCGTAAATCAATTTAGTATGTCTCACGAAAGTTGTAGTAGGTAGATATAAATATGTTTTTCTAACTTTCAGCACTTTCACAGGAATCATAATGAGTTTTCATACATCAGAGTAAGCATTACTCTCACTAAAAGTGACATGAGGTTGTATATCATTTAATATGCATATAGAAAAAAAAAACTAACTTTAGCAATAACCTTTTTTGCGAACAGCAATTGCTAAACTGATAACACATTACAAATTGGTCAGATGAAAAATGAACCTAATCTTTAATAATTAAAGTAACGCTAAAATCAACACGTCGAACATAGTAACATGACATTTTGTACAGTTAACTTAAGCAATAGTTAATTGTCAGATAACCTATGAGAATTAACTGTTACAAAACGTGACGTTCGATTGGCGACCTTTGTAACAATAAGTCATCTCAACGGTTGATTGAATCGTATTGTATTTGCAGGTTGCGATATAACTAACTATACTCATTATTGTAATAGAAATGAGCTTCTCATACGATTAGTAATTTAATAAATACATGCATTCATACATAACTTCACGCCTGTCTACCATGGGGGAAGGCAGAGACTATGGAACGCCAATTACTACGATTCCTACATACCTCTTTCACTTCATCAACAGTCATCAATCTTTTCATGCATGCTCGTCTGTTAAGGGTACTTTTAATTTGGCCCTTCTGGCAATATATAAAATACTAAAAAAATATACATAAATAAATATAATTTCAATATAACCACAGATATAATAAATATATTTGTATAATGCATAGGCTAATTCTTATTCCATAGGACCGCAGACGAAGTCACTGGCATAAGCTAGTATTGTATATCGAGTCAACGAGGTAACGAGGCAAGATTAATCAGCGATATGTAATTTTATAAGGTTCTTTTCGCTGAATACTAGTTATGCAAACTTACAAAGTTGCATCAAGATACTAAAATGCTAATTAAATATTATTTTCAGTTTTCTCGCAAAGAAGTATTAAGAACATAATATAAATGATTTATTCGTGAGTAATCTCCGCATAAAAAATTAGTCACTTCTTGAATGCTGCCTCTCAAAAATATTATTACTTATGCAATTAAAATATAAATAAATATAAAACAAAGATTTATAAATATTTCTTAATTTTCGAATATTGTCAATTATTATTCATGTTTAATTTATTGCGTGAAGAAATATCGAAATACGAATAGTGAAGCTCACCTTATCTTAAAGGTACTCAAAGTCAAAGTCAAAGCATTTATTTTTATTAAACCATATTTAATTTTTATTCGATAACATATAGACTGATTTGCTGTAAGTTGTTTAAGCTATATTTTGTGAATTTTGTAAATTTTCAAATATTATTAGGATTATGTTATCCATTAATAATTATAATAGTTTTATAGATAACTTACATAGTCCACAATGTTCATAGATTTTAAGATTAAAAAAAAAAAACAAAAATTTGCATGCCATATGGTAGAATGTACCAGGAACGATGTACCTTTGTAACACCTTATATTATGTACCTACATTCAATGCAAATAAATTATTCTATTCTATTCATAATTTAGTAGTCTTGAAACGTCAACAAATACAAAATAAATAATGTAGATTCGAATGGAGAAGAACGAGAAAGAACCCCATTCGCTATTCTTTTTTAAAAAAAAAGTATGTTCTACAATTAGTTATGTCAGTGACCTGTGAATCATCAAAGACAGAAGAGATTTTGAAACCAAGAAACTCCATTCGTTACTCTTTTTAAAAAATTATGTTCTACAATGTCTCTGATACATATTCCAATACTGTAGGTATATGTGAGAACAATGCAAAGACACGCTTAACGCATTATAGGTACTAATTACATCGCGAAGGACACACCGGGCGTCGGGGATCGCGGGACGATCTCCGGCCACCGTAAGCGCGGGACTGCGGACGGCGAGCATGGGTGGCTCCCCGTCCGACCAGAAACAGACCCGAGCGTGGGGCGCGTCGCGTTCCGCGCGCGCCTCAAAGAGCCATCAGACCACCACAGATGGGTCCCAATAGGGCTGTTGCCGATTCGGAGTCGCGGAGAACCTAACGGGTAACCGGGGCTCCGGCTCGACGTGCAAGAGAAGGAACGGGGTGGTTTTTAGTCAGTAAGAGTCTAACACTCCCTTCCGCCTCACCCAGGCGGGAGCAGTCATTCGATGATTTTCCCCCCTTAAAAAAAAAGGGTACTAATTACAAACCTTACTAAAAATAAAAAATATCTTATACTGTTACATATTATGCTAAATTTAAGTACGAAATTATGCTTCAATGGAGGACCCTATAATTCCCTATTGGACGCAGAACGAGAGGTTCACATTAGTGCCATCTGGTGAGCAAAGATACGATAGGCCCCATTGAGCACTGGTCACTTAGTACCATGTGTATTCTTGCTAATCCTTTTGCTAATTCTTACTGATAAAAACAGACGAAGAAACGGAATTCATGAATTGCTTGTATTTTTATTTATATTTAATTTTATGTCCAGTTTATGTTTTTGTGACTTTATTACAGCAGTTTCAGGAAGTCACAGATGATAAAACGCGTTAAATGCATGTGTGGGAACTGTTTTTATTTACTTTTGTTTGTTTTTATATGATTTTAATTTAAATGCGACTATTTACATTGCGACTGTATAACATAACTATTTTCGCATTTGACTGAAATGTTGATTCGTAATTTTCTGTGCGTCAATATTAAACTGTTGCACAGTTTCGTAAAATAAGATAATGATTCCTGCTTAATAATGGATTTTTTTAATAGGGGAAGGAAATTATCATTAAGTATGCCTATAATTTTTGCTTATGGATTATCATGACTATCAAAATCGCTTTTAGATCATCGAAAACTTTAAAGGGACTATCCCTTTAAGGTCAAACGTCGGCCCATCAAATATATAATAAGAGAAGAAAAAAGACGGACTGCTGCTTTTCTTTCAGTAATAGTCATTTTGAGGTACTTCGATCAGAGGCGAGTACGAGTTTGTTTTACGTTTAAAGTATTCGAAACGAGTACGCGTTTAGCACTCTGATTGGCCGGCGCCAATAAATCAACCAATCAGAGTGCCGAACGCGTTCTCGTTACGATTACTTTAAACTCGTACTAAGGCCTCTGGTCTAGTTATAAGTGTGTCATTAGGTTCACCTAAAATACTCGGTGGCTAGTGAACACTTTGAAACATAAATAATTAAATCGCTCTGAAACAAAAACTGATTACAGTGTCGTTGAACTGTGAACCAATCAGTTGACCTACCACTAAACGTAACATTAATTAAATTACCAGACGTTACGTCATTCATTTGTAAGTGTTATTTATAAAAAATAATAAAACATTGTCAGGTTTCTTTGTACTTTGAAGGCACTAATTCAAAGTATAAAGAAACCTGAGAATGTTATAAAATTTTTTCAATCCATTTTTCGCTATTTATGTAGAAATATGTGAATATAGTTTTATATAGACTAGAGTAAAGTATTACTGGGTTTTTAAACATTCTCAGTAGTAGCACGAAGTCTGGAATTGTGCCCGGTATATGGCAATAGGCTCACCCCCTATTACATGGGACTCATAACATAAATAGTGAAAAGTGGGTGTTACATTATACAGTGGTATAATGTGCACCTCTGCCTACCCCTTCGGGGATAAAAGGCGTGTTGTTATGTGTGATAGACTAGAGTAGTCGTAGTTAAAAGTTTCAAAATTGTTACATATATATATGTTGTTTTTTTTAAGGGGGAAAATTATCGAATGACTGTTCCCGACCGGGCGAGGCAGGAGGGACGAGGGAGTGTCAGACTCTTACTGAATAAAAACCACCCCATTCCTTCTCCTGCGCTTCGAACCGGAGCCCCGGTAACCCGTTGGGTTC